TCAAATCAGACATCAGAAGACACATGAATGAGATGCTCAGCTCTTCTCCAAAATTCAAGGTAAACTGCTCTTCCTTCCTCAGCATCGTTATCTTTACTCACAAGCGGTTCTTTTTCCTGAAAACCTTTGTGGGATATTTCTATAAAGAAAAGGACAGCTGGATTTGAGAGAACACATTGTTATAGGAAGTAGTCATTTGTGTACTCAGCTAGGAGTTAGATAGTTATACATGGTAAATGAAAGCAAAGACAATGAACTCCGACTTCTGGGTCAAAGAATCCGATTCCTCTATGAGAAAACTATTCGTCACTTAATCTGGGTTGCAAGGTTTTCTTATCCATGCAAAGGTAAAATAACGGCATCCACTTTACAGCCTCATGAGATGCACATACAAAGAAAGGATTTAAATCAAGTCCTTACACAGAGTAATTAGTGTTAGACACATTTAGTAGATATGAGCATATCGCTGAGAACGCAGTACTGCTAATTTGCTGGAGAAAAATTTTCTTGTCAGCATCATAGAAGATGAAATAAATTTTTTCCCAGGTAGTTCCAGTGTAAAGTACTTTAAATATTAATATGTAATCCTTATTAAAATTATGGAAGACATATTTCTGAAAGGAATGTGTGTGTGTGTGTGTGTGTGTGTGTGTGTGTGTATTTTAGTTGCTTGACTTAAATTTTTGGTGGTTGCTTCTTCCTTATTGTGGAGCCATAGTAGCTTAAGCATAAGTAACTAGCTATAGTATTAAACCAAGTGCCTGATCTTTACTGGAGAGTTGTCAGTCATGACTAAACTGATGTGAAGATCAAAGCTGAAAATGAAGATGCTACTTCTAGACTAGGATACTTTAGATGTTTCTTCCAGTCGGTAGTCTTTACAACCCAGTGCACTTCCGAACTTCAGGATGACTTTCATTATGCCTACGTATTGACCTGTGTTCCCCTAACCATACCAGGAACTTTGAGAGGATGCAGCTGGGAAAGAAAGAAGTCTTTCGTTCTAAAATCTCGCTGCATCGGACATTTATAACCTGACATGTGAAACCAGCTAACACAATGTACATTAAAAATCTGGGTTTGTGTGATATATTTAAATTTTTCAGACTTTCATTTGAAAATTTTCAATTAGTCTTTTATAGACCTTTCTACATTTGTTCTGTTTAAATTCAACTAGTTTTATGTTATGCTTTTTTTCTTTTGAATACTGTTGATAATATCAGCTCAGTAAAGAATGAAGTAACACATCATCCCACACTGATTTCTTACAATCATACAGCACATTTAAGATGTATATTTAATGGTTCTTCATAGTAGGATGGAAAATACATATAAAGATTTTAACTTCTCAGTTCTGCATTTTTCCTTCATTTGAGGCAGTACATTCCAACTGAAGTATGAAACAGTCTGTTTGAGCCAAAAATTAGAAAAACTCACTATTTTAAGCTATAAAATATACAGAATTGAAAATTGACACCTAATATATTTTTTCATTTGATACAGATGTTCAATGAACCTTTTCTCTGCAAGCATTCATGAAAAGCAGAGTAACTAAAAACCCTCAGGTGTAAAGGATGAAAATATGATTCATATATCTTTTAGTAAATTGTTAATGGATTTTTAATGAAAGTCATTCTTCTTTTCATAATTTACAAGTTATTTTAAGTTTATTGTAATCACCTTATGATTTAGAATTGTGAAGGGATCTTTAAACTGACTTGAAACTTAAGAAGACCTAGCTACCTTTCCAATGTAGAAAGCCTTATACGTAACTTATGAAGAAATCACTGAACAATTGAATGTAAAGTTTACCTTTATATTTTGAAATTTAAGTACATTTGAATAAAGTAATAATTCTGTTCAACTATTTTTCATGTCTATCAAACCATTTTGAAAATAACTTTCTTCCTCTTATTCAAAAGTACAGGCCAATACAATAAATGAACAATACAGTCTGGTATGTTGGCTTTTTGTACCTTGAGACCATTGTGTTCATTTCTGAATTGAGTTGCACTGCAGGCATGTTGAAATAAAAGTTGATTTGCGCAGGCTAATGTCTGTTGGGAATATTTAGAGCTACTGACGTTTTGCCACCTGCAGAACTCATTATCTTAAGTAGGGGCTCAGTGTGGATATCCAGTGGAGGGGCAACAGAAAACTTAATTCTTTTTCCTCTTCATCCACCATCCCCCCCAAACTGGAAAAAAATAGTTTGAACAGATGTTTCTGAAAATTCAAAGTTATTACATACTGTCAGTTTAATAAGTAACTCATGTATAGCTGTATTTGGGTCATATGTCTTTCTTCCTTTTTTTTTTTTTCAGAACCAGGGATTGAACTTAGGCCCTTGTGCTTGCCAGGAAGCACTTATTTTACTGAGCCATCTCCCTGGCCCAAGGGTCATATGTATTTCATGTATTCATAGAATGGAATCATGGTGCTTATGGACATCTCAGTATAAAATTTTAAAACACTTTTACGTGTTAACTTAACTACCTTTTATAAACATATGCACATTATTTTGCCAAAGATGTCCAGCTGTCTGTTTCTTTGCTTGTTAATTACCATGCTTTCAGAAAGTAGTGCTGACTGTTGCATGAATAACATTGTGTCCATCTCTGATGACAAAACGCAGTGAACCTAGAAGTTTATATTATACTGAGGAAGAGAAGAACTTTATATAAAACATGTTACAGTAGAAAATGAAACAGTTGATCCATGTCAAAATTAATGATGCTTATGAAAATGACTACATAAAACAGGTCAGTCAGCCCAGTCTCTTTCTAGAGGTAACCGTGATTGCAGGAAACACAAAAATTTTCCATGTAGATAGAAGGAAACACACTGAAAACAGAAGCCAATGCAGGGAACAAAAGTGTAGCCACAGAAACAGCAAGCTCTGTGAGTGGAAGTGGGAAGGCATCATGGCCCACAGAGCAGAGACTGGAGATGTGAGATTAGAAGGTGGGTTAGAGGCATGCAGAGAGGACATCAGGAAACGTGTATAGATCTCAAGAGTAGAGGAGGAGGTTAGGGAAGAGGAGTCCGCGTGAAGACCTACCTAGTGAGGGTGGTGTCTAACAGGTTAATTTAGCAGTGTCCATGGCGTGCATTAGAACTAGAAGTTGAGGACCCAAGGAATAGTCATCGCTCTCACTGTCAGACGAGTAGGTATCTGATCATGAAGGCTTTTAGTAAAATGACATGAAAAATGGAAGCTTGACTATACAACACCTGTGACTCCCAAGTCATAGGAAATTAAGACAATAGAGATGAAACATTCTGAAACTTAGCACAATAAGAAATCAAGTTGGGCCCCAGGGAGATGGCTCAGTGGAATAAGGCCTCCCTGGCAAGTGCAAGGGCTTGAGTTCAATACCCAGTTTCACCAAAATAAATAAATAAATAAATAAGAAGAAAGAAAAAAAAAAAGAAATCAAGTTAAGAGTACTTTAGGAAAGATCAGTTGTGGGGAGAATATAAGAAGTAATTAGTGGTGACTTTTATAGAGCTGTGGATTGGAGGAACCAGCTGGAGCAGCTAGAGGGTTCAGTTTTCTTTGGGGGGGATATAAAATGTTCTGAAATTATGGTGAGGACTGTCCAACTCTGAATGTACTGAAAGGCATGAAAACGTAGACTTTAATTGGTGAATTGGAAGGTATTCGAAGTATATCGTAAGGAAGCTGTTACAAATTGAAAGAAGAAAAACAGAAAGGAAACTATATTTTGGGAGCTATGTAAGAAAAAAGAAGAAAATGGTCTTTAACTGGCATTCGTTTAAATGTTGAATGTGGCCAATTGTGGATTGTGTTCCTAAGAGCTGTAGTAGAAGCTGTGAGGGTAATTGTGAGGAGAGGGAACAAAAGCAGATCTGATCACAGTAATTTTGCAGTTCAAGGGCTAAATCATGGACAAAGCAGTAGTTAAAAAGGGTCTTTCTAACAAAGTGTACGAGTTGCATTCAACATGGCTGTGTTACTCAGGAAAATGGTATCAGTGGAGACATGGCTCCGCATTGGCTATGCTACGTAATTTGTCAATGCTGGCTTATACATAATTTTCAACTATCGGAAGGACATCCGGGGTGTTCCTGTCAGTAGTTTTATGTGTGCATCTATGTAAAATTGCAGCTCTGAACTGGGGGTGGCAACCCAAGCCTGTAATCCCAGAACTAGGGGGATTGAGACAGGAGGATCTCTGAGAGTTCAAGACCATTCTGGGGGCTACAAACATGAGCACAAGGCCAGCCTGAACTGCAGAGCGAGACGCTCACCCACCTCTGACAGGACTAAACTATGCAAAGGAAGGACCATTTTGTATCCATTTATACAGAATAGTTAGATGCACAGCTACTTTTGCTTAATTCAATGAGAAGAAAGATTTGTGCTAATAGTGTTTCGACAGGATACCATGTCTGCATCTTGTACTATGAATAACCACTAAGAAGATAGCAATGCGCAATGTATTAATTATTGAAACTGTTGTATTAATCAGTTTTGAAACTGTCTCTTTGCTATTTGTTCCTCAATAAATAAATAAATAAATAACAGCTCTGCTTGTAGGCCATAGTAATGGAATACTTGATAGGACCAGGAGTGCGTGCAGGAGGCCACATTGTATGGTCCCTGCTAAAGCTTGTTCTTGGTGTTTTGAAGACTGGTTTGCTAGTGTTCTCACCTATTGCTAAGTGGTGAGACTCAAACTATTATTTGTTACCTTTATTTGACCCAAGATAGTATTTGTCACCATCAATATGGAATAAGAATGTGGCGCTGCCAGGCACTACATCATCACAATCTAAAATGATGCCACTCTTGCAAGTAAATAGAAACTGTAAAACGGCAAAGAAATGCTTCTCTATGGTCCCTAGGTGACACCCACAGCTCATCTGGAAGCGAAATCCTAGCGAGAGGAATTGTGTCGTGCATGTTTTTCCTCCTGAACTGGGTGCTTGTGTTGGAATGATCGCAGGCTCACAACGGTCTTTACGTATTTCAGGGAAGGAAATCACGGCAGAGACTTTCATGGAGAAGCTGGACAACGGTGCCCTGCTCTGCCAGCTTGCCGCGACTGTGCAGGAGAAGTTCAGGGAGGCCGCGGACTCGCACAAGCCCGCCAAGGTAAAGGGCCCGGGGCAGAGGCGACTACTCACAGGCAGGCTGCACTTGCTGCTGCTTATGAGCCTGGCGCAGCTTGGGAGTTGATTGTGAATGGATGCATCAAGGCCTATATGGACAACAAAGCACAGAGGGTACTTTTTAGATAATGTGGTATGTTCTTTGTATTCTAATTAATTAATGGTTTGAGAATTAATTAAATAAAATATTTTGGGAAAGGCTAGCATGCAAAAATACAATTGGCTGAATCCCAATTTTTTTTTTTTTTTTTTTTTTTTTTGGTATTTTATGGAAGGGTCTACAGGGTGTTCAGGGTCTCACTACTAGATTGCTCTCCTAGTAATCTGCCTGTTTACAGCCTCCTAAGAGCTGGGATTACAGGCGTGTACTACCACGCCCAGTCTCAATTGCAGAATCAGTATGCCCAGTGGTTGGGGCCAGCATGGCAAGCCCAGGGATTGAACCTCCAGCCCCTGTGCCTGCTTGCAGGACTTTAACCTCCTGAGCTATTTGGCCGGCCCTGCCAACTGTTGATTAAAAATTGAGAGAAATAATTTCTATCCTTATGCAATGAATCATAAATTTACCCAAGAAAGACTGGCTGAGTAGGACTTCATTCCTAAAATGTAATGGTAGAGTATTGGGATAGTATAATTGGAAGACACTATTTGTTTTATATTAATGAGTATATCATGGAACCAAGGACTGTTACATTACTGAATTCTCAGATTTCCGCTTTTTTGTATATTAATTCGAATACTCTTTTAGCTATTGTAAATGTATGATAAAATATCATGTTCAATATGTTGGCATAAGCAAGAAAGAAGGAAAAAGAAGCAAGAAAATAAGGCTAAACAATGTTGGATGCGGGGTAAAATAAAAATATACAAAAGCAAGTGTCAGATCGCTTTTGCATTCCTCACAGCACAGAGTAAAAGGAGTGTTTGTGAATGTGTGAGTGTGGATGTGTGTGTGTGTGTGTGTGTGTGTGTGTGTGTGTACAGCATTGTGCTTACGTTTGATACAGTTTAGTTTTTTATTTTAAAGATAAAAAATAAAAATAACAATAATAGAGTTTCCAAACAGGTTAGTAGAGATTACAATAATCCATACATTGGGTATTGTCTTCAGATTAGTTATACAGAGTACAAAATATAGGAATAAAATCTTATCCAAACAATATGAGCCCAAACCTTTCTTTTCAGAAAGCTAACTATATATATAATTAGCTTAACTATCTTGTACATAAATATATTTTTCCTTTTCCCTTTCTTCCTTTCCCTTTTCCCACAACATCGTTTTTTTTCCTTTTGAACTGTTTCTTACCAGTTCACAATATCCATTGTATGCTTTCAATTTTATTTAGTCATTCAGTTTCTCACATGAATGAAACAATATGATGTTTACACTTGTGGGTTTGATTTATTTTAGTTATGAGTTGCATCAATTTACCTACACAAGCCTGCAGTTTATTCTGCTTTATGGCTAAGTAGGACTTCATTATATATTTAAAGAAACTCATAACTTTTAAAATCTATTCCTCAGTTGATTAGCATTTGGGTTGTTTCCAAGATTTAGCTTTTAAGGGCTGCTATAAACATCAGTGCACCTATATTGCTGTGATGTGACATTTTTAATTCTTCTGGGAAGATACCCAGAGAGGAATAGCTGGCTTGAATGGGATCGCTATTCCTAGTTTTTTAAGGAAGTGTCACACTGATTTCCACAGCGGCTGCACCATGCCGCACTTCCACCAACAGTGGAGAAGGGTTCCTTTTTCCTCAAAGCCTAGCCAGCACTGGTTATCTGTTAATTTCTTAATCATAGCCATTTTTACTGGGGTGTGATGTAATTTCAGTTTTGTTTTAATTTGCATTTCTCAAGTGACCAACAATACTGAATTTTTCTCATATTTTTATTTGCTATTTGTATTTTTTAATCTGAGAAGTGTGTGTTCATCTCAGATGGTCATTTTTGGAACGAGTCTTTGAATTTGGGGAGTTCTGATTTTTTTCAGTTTATATATTCCAGATGTAAGTCCTTTGTTGGAGAGATTACTGGATATAATTGCCTTTTCACTCTGTTGGTGATTTAATTTGTTGTGCAAAAGCTTTTTAATAAGGAGGGAGCCAATTTATTGATTCTTTGTAATATTGCTGTATTAGCAACATTTCTACCTACTTTTTTCTCCTAGAAAATTTAGTGTTTCATTATTTATATTTAGATCCTTGATCTATCTTGACTTGGGTTAATCCGTGGTATTAGATATGGGTTCAGTTTTGGTCTTTGGCATGTGGAGAGCCAGTTTTTCCAGGACTATTTACTAAGGAGTCTTTCTTGCAGTGAACATGTTTGGCTCCCTTGTCAGAGATAAGGAGGCTGAGTGTGTTTGGGGTTATGTCTGCATTTTGTACTTTGTTCCATTGATCCTCATATCTGTTTTTCTTTTCTTTTTTGTTGCTAATAACACACTTATTTCTCTATGAAAAATATTTCTTTAATTTTTACCAGAGTGATATCTTTTTTAAATTTATTATTTTTTATTAATTTTATTGAGAAACAAATAGCAATGAGACAGCTTCAAAACTGATTAATAAGACAGTTTCAATAATGAATATATTGCATATTGTTGTCTTCATAGTGGGTATTCATACTACAAGATGCAGACATGATAGCCTGTCCAAACAATATTAATACAAATTTTTCTTCTCATTGAACTAAAAGAAACTAGCTGCATATCTATCCTAACTATTTTGTGTGTACAGATATAAAAGGCTCCTTCCTTTGTATACACCTTTTTTGTTCAGTTTTGTCAGAGATGGGTATTCCCTTGCCATTTAAATATTTAGGTGCATGAATTCGGCAAAATAATCCAATATAGTCCAGTAGTCACCAGTGATGGGTTATCTGTAGGACTGGTAATGTCAGAAGTTGTTGACTTGAGCCTTTTACAGCTCAGCATATTACTATGGCTTTATGTTTTATACCTCGTGTTTATAACTTTCTGCTGGATGGGTAAGACCAAGATAAAGCAAGACCTATGCAACAAGAAATTTAACTTTTGTATATGACAAGGTCAGCCAAATCTCCCCAGGATTTACCCTGAAACTCTGTACTGCAGTTTGTAGATCCCTTGTCAGTGTCAGACATGTGGATGCATCACGGCCGTTGCTTGACCCATTTGCTCTCTGTGAAAGCCTAAGAGAGTGTTTTCTCTCCATAGGACTCTCCTTTGGTACACTTTACATCATCAATCACTTTCTTCTGTGGCCCTATAATCTCCTTGAGCAGAAAATTTGGGACACAACTGTCCCATCCCTGCGTTACTGGATGTTACAGTACAGGTTCTCCTATGTCCTGAGTCCTCACTGAACTTGAAAAGCTAGGGTCAAAATGTTGGCTGTCATTGCAGCCCTTCTTTTGCTCTAGTTTTTGGTCTGACAACTTAAGTTGTTAACTCTCCAGAAGAGAAGCTTAATGCTATTATTACCCTATTATACAGGAAGTTGAGCTTAACTTCACTGTCTGAATATCACACATCTTAGACATAACATGGAATGGGTATTTTCCATCAAGTATTAATATGTTAAACTTTAAATCCCTAGAATGTGAGGAAAGAAATAAAAATATTTCAAAAATTATGAATAAACAATTACATATTTTTACACAGAAGTTTAGAAATCTAACCATATACATCATTGTAGCAGGAAAATCCTATGACTTTTTTTTTTTTGTTGTCTCTTGTGTTCATTTGTTACCTTTTATTTTTTAAAACATTTGCTTCAGAGATAGTATGACAATAATTGATACGACATGACAATCAGTATGTATTTAGAAGACCAGAATGACAGACATTCTAAGCATGACCCTACTATTACACATTGCTGTCTTTTGTGCAGCTGCTTAGTTCACAGGTATCAGCATATAGAGTTAGTCAGGGTGAGAATCCTACCATTTAACAGCTAGTTTCAAGAACTTGCTGAATATTCTCAGGATCCTTGCCTTAAGCATCTTTTGCATATAAATGTATGGCTTTGCCCCTGTCATGTTTCCTAGCTTTTCTCCTTGCCCTCTCTTCATTGTTTAACCCTTAATTTCTTGGTTTGCTTTTAATTGTGTTATACCTTTCTATTTTTATTTCTTCTTTTTAGTTCTTACACTAGAGAGACTACATGACATTTACACATGTGGGTCTGGTTTATTTCATTTATAAGTATATCTTCAAGTGGCATCCAATTAAATATAAAGGCTTCACGTTTATCATTCTTTATAGCTGAGTAATCCATTGTATGAAAACACCACATCATTTTCATCCATTCCTCAGGTGATGGGCATCTTGTTTGTGCTACCAAATTTGGCTATCACAAATTGTGCTGCTATAAACATAGGTACACATATATCACTATATATGACGTTTTCAATTCCTCCAGGAAAATTCCCAGTAAGGGGATAGCTGGCTTGAATGGGATTTGCAGTCCTAGTTTTTTAGGGAGTCTCCACACTGTTTTCTGTAATGGTTGCACCAGTCTACATTCCCACCAGCAGCAGGGAATTCCTTTTTCTCAACAGCCTCTCCAGCATTTGTTGTTGGTTGATTTCTTTATGATAGCCATTCTTTCTGGGGATATCTCACTGTTCTTTTAATTTGCATTTCACAGATGGCAAGTGATACCACAGTTACTTTTATCTCAGCAGCTTTGTAGGTAATTTGAGGTCTGGGATTTTGATGCCTCCTGATTAACCTATGATGCCCAGAATTGTATTTGCTATTTTAGGTCTCTTCAGGTTCATAGTGAATCTTAAGTGTATTTTTTCTACATCTGTGAGGTATGTAAATGGTATTTTGATCGGAATTGCATTAAATCTGTATAGCAGTTTTGGAAGTCTGGCCATGATCACCATGTTGGTTCTTCGTATCAAAGAGCTCAAGAGATGTCTTTCCGTTTTCTGATATCCTCTTTGGTCTCCATTTTTAGGATACTGTTTTTTTCGCTGTACAGAAG